TTGCCACGTCACCAAGGGAGCGAAATCAGACGCGCTCGTTTTCTCAGACGCTTGCAGAAAAAGGCTTCCCAAAACAGAGTTACTGGGTTAATCTTTTTCACGTTTCCTTGGTTGGTAGATGCACCGGGGACCTGATTATAGCACTTACAACCTGGAAAAGTCAGATTTTCGTGATATGTCACCTTTAAAAGAGCGACTGCCATGAGAGCGAGAACAGAGGAAAAGTGAAATCAACTGGAATGGAGGGAGAGAGAGAGAGAGAGAGAGAGAGAGGGACGCCGCCGCTAATGCATTCCTCTCACAGATGACGCCACTAAAAGCCAGAGATATTACATTTCTCTCTTTCTGGTGACAAGCAGATTCAGGCAGCTGTTCAATATTAATGAGGTCCTCTTGCATAATTTAGCGTACGGGCCTGCGACACATAAGCTAGCACAGCAGACGACACGCAGATGAAGCTAGCTAAGAGTTTCTGATCACAGATCCCACATCGGCTACCAAACATGATCCTGATGACGAGTAAATATCACGTTAATGTAAACAGAGTTGCTGCAGTGACTGATGAATGTGCTTTAATTGAGTAAATCCAACAAAAACACTGCAGAAATTATATTTCACAAGAAAAAAAAAAGAAATTACATTTGGCATAAAGTAAATAGTTTTCTCTTTTTTTTTTTTACACTGCCATTATGAGAACCAATGATCTGAGAAATGTGCGTCACATCTCTGCAGAGAGAAACAAACAGACTGAAGAGACTCTTCCCACGTTTCTATGAGAGAGAGAGCGAGAGAGAGAGTTTCCTATTAGCAGCTTATCTCCAAGGCTTTTGGCTGAGGGCCTGGCCAGAGCTTTTTTCCAGAAGAGAGAGAGAGAGAGAGAGTCAGAGAGAGAGAGAGCGAGAGAGAGAGAGAGCGAGAGAGAGCGAGAGAGCGAGAGAGAGAGAGAGCGAGAGAGAGCGAGAGAGCGAGAGAGAGCGAGAGAGAGAGAGCGAAAACATTTCTCCTCCAGCATCACTTCCCTACATGGCAGCAGGATGAGAACAGAGAGAGAGAGACAGACGAGCAATGAGAGACAGGTCCTGGTATTTATAGCTCTGAGATCTTCCCGTCAAGCACAGGAACATTAATGAGCTACATTTCAGATTTCAGCAGCAGTAGCGCACTCATTTATGGCCTCTCAATACTTGTCATTTCTACTTCCCTAATTATTACTGTTCCAGATCATTACGAATCCGCGTTTCATTCAGCCTGAAGAGCTGAAGGCACACACTCCACTGTGCTCTTGCAGACCATTTGAGTTTCAGATGTTGTTGTGTGTTGACTTACACGTGTGATCGGTCTTTTCATAACCCACTTCACACTGCATGGACTGTGTTGTTCATTGATTCTCGATACAAAAATCAATCCGTGCGTCGAGTCTCATGACAGTGATGCGTCTCACAGAATCAAAGACTGAACCGATTCCCTTCAGTTACACTAGAGGCCTTTATTACTCCATATCATCATGATCCGTCAGTCGGAGAGAGGAGCGTGTGTGTTCAGCCGAGCGAGGGCAGCTTTAGTTACGGGTCAGCTGGCATCTGTCTAACCGTGGTTATAGACGGCAGCTGTGCCACGGGTCGCCCGTCTACTGTAACCACCACAGCCGTTCTGAACACGACTCCTGACGAGACTCCTGTTATTATTGTTAACTAAAACGAACACTATAACTGTTAAAAATGGTTTTCATTCATTTAAAAAAAGCTTAGTAAAATAAAATATAAACACGGAATACAAACTTTAACGAAAATAAGAGATTTTGGCAAATAACTGAAATAAGTTGAAGCACTAATGGTGTTCACACCAAACGCAAATTTCATTATTCGCGCGAGTAGATTACATGCAAAGATGCGAATAGAGGTGAATTTGCGCCAGGCGACGCGGATGACACGAAATGCGCGACGCGTTTGGCGCGAACACGTGATATTAGCTTAATTTGCGTCTTACGCTCAAGTTAAAAAATTTCAACTGGAGTGGAAAATTCGCCTAAAGCGTTCTCGCGTAAGCCAATCAGCAAAGAGCTCATTGACACATCCAGAAAATGGAGTGCATTATTGTAGCCGTCTGCGGGCACCCCAAAGTCCTGGAGAAGAAGGTGAAACTCTGAGTTGTGCGAGTGGCGCAAAAAACATCCCGCGAGTAATCTATAGCGAGTGACGCAATGCGCATATTAACTCCGCGTTTGGTGTGAACACACCATAACATTGCTAAAACTGAAAGATTAAAGCTGAATATAAACTTAAAAAACAAACAAAAAAAATTTGACAAAAGCACATAAAATACTAAAATGAAAACTGAAAATATAAAAAGCTCATTCTAAATATTAATAGAAACAATAAAAATACATAATACTAAAATTACACAGTCTTGCAAGGCTAGAAAACCACAACGGCTGCTGACTGGAGATGGTCCTCACTGCAGAACACATGATCCAGATCCAACTCCTCCCACCTTACATATACCTAAACCCACCCGTCTCCACCCTCTGATCCCTAAACCCACCCATATCCACCCCAATACCTACCCGTCCCCACCCCCGATCCCTAAACCCACCCATCTCCACCCCTAAACCTACTCGTCTCCACCCCCTGATCCCTAAACCCACCCATACCCCCCCCAAAACCTACCCGTCCCCACCCCCAATCCCTAAACCCACCCATCTCCACCCCTAAACCTACTCGTCTCCACCCCCTGATCCCTAAACCCACCCATATCCACCCCAAAACCTACCCGTCCCCACCCCCAATCCCTAAACCCACCCATCTCCACCCCTAAACCTACTCATCTCCACCCCCTGATCCCTAAACCCACCCATCTCCAACCCTAAACCCACCCGTCTCCAACCCTAAACCTACCCGTCTCCATCCCTGATCCCTAAACCCACCCATCTCCAACCCTAAACCCACCCGTCTCCAACCCTAAACCTACCCGTCTCCATCCCTGATCCCTAAACCCACCCATCTCCAACCCTAAACCTACCAATCTCCACCCCCTAGATGTGGATCTAACCACGCCCCCTGGATCTTGTGTTCTGCAGTGAGGGGCTACTGGCCGAGTAAGTGGACCCGCTCGAATGCAGAAATCGAGGATGTGAAAGGGTGATGAAGCCCTCCTCAGACGAGAGAAACTGATCAGCAGCTCGAGCTCTCTTCAGCGTCACACACACACACACTGGACCCGCCCACAGCCGCTCGCTGATTGGTCAGCTGTAACCCGAGAGGGCGTGCCCGTTCCTTCTGCCCTGACCAATCAGAGTCCAGCAGTGCCCAGCATGGGTCCAAAGGTTCATGGGTCCTAAGTGGCCCAAATGAAAGGCTGCAAACGCTCATGTTTGAGAGAAACACACACACAGAGTGAATGTTTGTCTCTCACACACTCCGCCCTTAGCACATGTGCGACCTACAGAAACTAGTTGATCTAGTTTGGATAGACGACTGCTCCTTTGCCCAACACACACAAACTCAGTCCTCATTAACGACTCCGTTCGGTCAGCAGCCGCTGGAGCTCCTCTTCACCGACAGACGAGCAGAACCAGAGTTTGTGCGGTTTGTGTAGAACATGAGCTCCCCAGCGCAGCGTCACCTCTGAACTCTCACACCGAGAAAGCAACCCAAGAAAAGCAAACAAGCTTCATGACTGACGTCTCTGTTCCAGCTCGCAGTCTTACTGCAGTTTTATGCTGTGCTGCGTCTCATGAATCGTGTGGATGTGATGAGTGTTTGATCACTCTGGTTTCATTAACTAAAGCTGCACTGCACATGTCTGTGACGCATGTAAATGCATGTACAGTAACAGCAGGAATGGGAATGTGTCTAAATCATCTTTTCTAGGTGAATGTCCTTCTGGTGATGCATTACTATGGACACTAGTTACGTCGCATTTCTTGTGTACTTACACAACCATGATGTCCGTTATACATCAGATGTCTATTGTAAGTGCGTTACTTTAAATCTATATGACTACTAGAGGTAATAGTATGTTGCTCTGTCAACTGAGTTTTCATCGTATTTGGGAACACACTGATGTATCGACCAATAAGCGATATCGAGTGATCAAAGCACTATCTGACATCGGCTGATTGTCCTGAGCTGATTGCTCTGTTGTTAGTTTTATTCAGTAATGAACCAAACGAGAGGCTTATACTTTACAGCATTAGTTGGGAGAATTTTTCTGCAGACGTCATCCTGAATGATCAGCTATCAGTACCAGCGGAGAAACTCAGCATTGGTGCATCTCTCTACCTTTATATTCTCATGTTTAAGATCAACTCATCCTGCGATTTCTATGTGCAGTGCATTTCATCACCAGAAATCATGCACTGGGGACACCTGCATTTGGAACCAAACATTCATAAATAAGGAAGTGCATTTTTTTGCAAGTTCTCTTAGGTTTTGTGTGAGCTTTATATAAAAACAACACGCATCTGTCCTCATTTAGATGCGTGCGTGTGTGTATCAGATGTCCAAAACAATATTCGAACGTCAACAAAGAGTGTTTTAGGGCGAATATAGACCTCTATTTCTATGCATAACAAAGGCAGCTGTTCTCAGTTTCTAA